ACAAACTACCTAAAACATGGCTTACTAAGTTAACAAAAAGGTTAAAGGGAGCATTTGCCTAAAAAATTAGATGATGGGATTTTATATACAGTAGATATTCTACAATTTTGTCTCCAGAATTCTCAGGTCAGTCAATGCATCTGCAGGATGAGGGAAGCCTGAGCTGGGAAGTGAAAAAAGGTAGAGTAAGAAAAAAGGTCACAACTAGAATAATAAAAAAGGGAAGAAAAGTGAATAGGGAAATTTAGCTCTTAGGAAAAAGAGTAGAACAGAGCAATTATAGAATAAAAGGCATTATATAATATGTAACCCTGCAAAAGGGAAAGTAGAAAAGCAGAAAGATGGAAACAGTAAAGAATTTTCCTTTCCTTTGCATATACAAAGCATAGTTTTCTGCGAGAGAGACAGCCAGAAAAATACTAAAATACCTGTTAAGATGTTAAAATGCAATGGGTAGTTTATCACCTATACCCATGTGAGTTAATTGACTTTGTTAAGAGAGAGGATTTTCCTGGTGACCAGATGTGCAGCCACTGATACCAAAGTGTTTCATAAGGACCTTGCCAGGGAGAACAAAACAGAGTCCTCTGCTAACCTTTCCCTGATCCTCTGCTAACCTTTCCCTGATGCTCCCAGGCTGAGAGGAGAGTCTTGCAGCCCACCTGAAGGTGAGCTCCCCCTGTCTCTGTTGGATGAGAGAGCTCCTTCCCCCACACCTGCCTTGTTTCAGCAACCAGCCTCCCACACTTGCCCTTCAACAAGATATTGCTCTAGCACCTCCTGCAAGCACTCAAATTAACCATTAAATGCAGTTTTGATTACATACTTGTAAGGAAGGGATTTCTTTGGCAGCAGAGTGGTTTGGTCTCTCCCTTTGAACCAGGAATGGTATATAAATAGGTTTACCTCTGAATATCTGCTACATCATGTTTCCCTTCAAATATCAAACCAAACCCAACCCAGTGTTACATTAGACCATTTGGAAGTTTGAGGACTTGTCAGAAATTGTGTCTTGTCTAATTAATAAATATTAATTTATACATCCCTTGTCTATGACACATCCTGTTCCTCAGGACATCACATTTCACACATTGCCCATCTGCACCCTCAGGTCTGCAGCAGAGGGAATGTGACAGCAGCTGGCAGCTTAACTTGCATTTGCTTTACACCCCATGGCTGCCTGGCTTTGAGGAGCTCTGCTCCTCAGGAAACATTTCAGCCCTAAGGCATGCAAGGGACCTTGACAGGAGTGAGGGGCTGAGCTGCAGGGGATGAATGCCACGCTGGCACTGGAGAAACCCAGTGAAACATGGACTATAATAAAGGCCTTGAGTGGAAAAGTTGCTCTTTTTTGAGTTGGTGTGAAATACAGGAAACTGTCTCCCAAGCTTAAATTGGCCTGCAGCAATAGGCACAGAATCTGGATAAGAAATTATTTTCCTTGAGAAACCTAATGATTTGTAGTGGGATGCTGTCATTATAAATATACTTTTATTATTGTGGGTTTTTTTCCCCAAACATGCAATGAAAGAGTGAGTCGTAAACATGTAAGAATACTCCTCCTCATTTCCTTTTGGGCCCCCAATCAGGAAATGTTGAAAATCAGTGTTGGTATTGCTGAAGATTAATGGCTGCTGCTCAGAAACCATACAGAAAGGGAATATATTCCTGCCAGGACAAATACATAGGCCATTGGACAAAAATCTGTGAACCACAGATAGTATTATATCATCATTATAAAGATCCACACTGCCTGTCTTGCTCTGTAATTAATAATATTCACATGTGGGTTTGACTGAAATCACTGTAACAACCAGGCAAATTAATGCCATGCCTTCATGGTCCAATTTATTCTATTGGTATTTGAAGTTTTCTTTTCAAATCAGCTTTACAGTATTTAAAAATTAGATATTTTTTTTTTCCAGGTATGGGAAGCAATACTTCCTGGATTTTTTGCCACTATATGTTCAATATGGGTTTAAAGACCATGTAATCACTACTTTTTTTTATATGAGCAGTTAGATCTCACAAGAGGACATCCACTCCACTGAGCTGTAGGCCCATTAAAATAAATCCCTGTCATCTGTTCATTTGCTTCCCACTCTCCTTCAGAGAGGCTGTACTTAAGAGCTCTCCTGCCATGTATATTGGGATGCATTCTCATCACCACAGCTTCTGTAAACTTTTTCTTCACTTTTGTTTTCTTGCAAAATAAGGCATAGGCTATATGGTGACCTCAGATGTTTGTGAAAAGCTTTCCATCTCTATATTCAGTAAATGTACAGGGTCCAGCCAGGAAACATGAAGACAGGCACAGCTGAGTCCAACTTGGTTCTAGAAGCTAAAGCACAAGCAAGCTACCTGAGGGTATTATAATTTCAAAAACCAATCAAGGGAAAATGAGGACATAAACATCATTTCCAGGGCATCTCTCCATGGTTTTCTGGCACATTTGACTTCAAAACAAAGAACTGGGGCATCAAGTTGTAAAGTAAGTGCTTAATATTGGTACCAAGATCAATGTCTCTGATGTGAGATGGTATGAGTAGTGAACATGAATACATTACCAACTTACCCTGCTAACCCCACAGTTGTCACTGTCACAGGTTACCTCCCGTGGCTTAGCACACTGTTTGAGGGTTCCAAGGCAGTGTCACCCTGGTGGAATGGGCATAAGGTGCCCCCTGCTCATGGCTGAGTAAAAAATTATGGTATTTTATCCCAATTTTTTATTCGGATAATAAGGTATCTCCCTACAGGTACAGCCTGATGCCATTCTCAAAACAAATTCTTCTTACATATGTCTAGATAATGTTTGCTTTGCCAGAATTGAAATGGCTTCAAAGTAAACCTGCAATATGATTTGTCAGTCCAACAAAATGCCAGCCACCAGAGATGTCTGAAAAGATCTGAAAATAAAAAGCCATTAAATGTCTCAGTGCATTAGGTCACTGTGACAGCCAGGAGGTAATACCAGAGTATTTACTTTGGCTGCAGCTTTCCTTGGCTCATCTTCCTTTGTAGTGTTAAAGCCAGGCTCTCATCTCAAGCCAAAGTGCTGGAGCTTGCCCACTTCAGAAATGGGTCAACACAGGTACCAGGGAAATAACTAAAATGGGGGGTTTGACATGAAATTAAAAACTTGTGTGGACTAAAAATAATTACTCTCTTCCCTGCCTGGCTGCAAGGAGCAGAAGAAGAGATGCACTCTATGGCCACCAGTGTGGGTGTCCCCCTGCCCTCCCGTCATGCCAGGAAGCTTCAGCTTCTCCCCATCTCTTTGGGGTCTGTATGTAGGAAAACCCCTAAAAGTATTGTCCAGGATCTATTCCCATCATCCCCATAGGGATAATGAGAACATGAGCAGTCCTTCAAAGCTTGTGTAACTATCCCACAAAGTAAAAGACTACGGTGAAGAACAGGAGAATTACACAAGCAATAAAGACCACATTTATTGCCACACAGGAAGCATTAGTGACTTTCTTCACCTCGCCTTTCCAGACCACAAAGGTGACTTCAGGGTAAATCTTTGTGAACAACATGAGCACGATACATTTCTACTGAGGTTTGGCTCTGTTCACCACAGAAGCTGCACGCTAGCTCCATCTCTAAGGAAATTACATATACAAGATTTTGAATAAAGTCAAATGGAGCACAATAAAAATGGCTACTTTTCTGTAATGGTAATTTCTTTTTTCTTCTCCAAAATTGCATTCAACATATTTTCTTCCTTTTTTCCCCGTGTAGTTTTTCATTGTAAAATGACTATTTTCTGTCTTTGACAAAATTATTTATTTTGAATGCATACTTCTTGTAATTTAGCAGTAGTTTCTGACAAACTAGAGGTGAATTATGTGCAGAAAAAGTGATACTTAATGATACTTAGTGAGATGGAATCTCAGAGTTGTGCTAATGGTGACTCATGTACCAAAGAAATTAACAGAACAATTGCTTCTTGTAATCAGATAAAATGGTAACAAGTTCAACATCAAAGTAATAATGTTATGAATGTGGGGAAAAGTAAAGTCTTCTATGAAAAGTAAAACAGTAATAGTTCATTGGAATAAAGGGATTAAGACAAAATGTTTCACACAGCTTGGGTGGCTTTTTTCTGCTTGTCCATAGGTTCAGTAAAAAAAGTCACTAAAGTACAACCAAAAGAACATATGGATTTGAAAAGCAGTCCTACCACAAAAGGGGATAACTTTTGAAAAGCCACAAGTCTTCATATTGACTTTTTGAAATACCACATTTCAACTTCTTATTTTGAAATTCTCTGGAGAGAATCTCTCATGCTACAGAGAGTTAAATGATGTATTAGCATTACAGAGAATCTCAAAAGTGGGCAGACATTTGGGAACAAGTTAAGTGCAAAATCAGGCTGACTGCCATCAGGGACTTACTACTGGGCTGAATTAACACGCAAACCAGGACAACTGAGAAAGCTTTCAAGCAAGCACTACTCCAAGAAATAAACGAATGGATCTTTGAAAGGCAAAGAACGTGCAAAGCACTGGGCTCTGGAAATCAGACAGGACAGGCAGAGCTTTGGCTGAGGCCTCAGTAACATCTAAATATGCAGAAGTTCCAGGGGACATCCTGAGACCATTTTCAGTATTCCTGACTTGTATATTGACCTCTTGAATATTTTCAGAAATGATTGTAATTGCATTCCCTATATTTACTTGTCTTTCCTGCTCCCTTCTTCCCACCCACCACTGATTCCCCTGTGGTTGTTTTCAGCCTCACCAGCAGATCCACATTTGTTTGTCAGGTGTTTCTTTGACAGGTGTTTGTAATTTATCTTGCTTTGGTAGCTGCAGTGGGAAATAAAGCATCACTTAAAACTGTGACTGTTAAACACCAACTACCACTGCTCTCTCCCTGTGGTCCTTTGCCTTATAATATGGATGCTCCTGTTAGTTGAGCCCTGTGCTCTTTGGACAACCTAAAAACAGATGGGTACGTAGAAAATATGGTTTAGAAGATGTTTAATTTACCTGCAATTCTCCTTCCATTATACTGAGTAGTTTTATCAAGTCTTCTTTAGAAAGCTCTATGGACTTCTTGTTCTTTCTCTCGCTAGGACCGGGTGATTTTGAGTGCCGTTTGACAGTTGCTGAAACCATGACCTCATCTTCCTTCCGTTGAGGTTTGTTCTTTTTCTTGGCATCCTCCTGAAGTTTTTCATTCTCTGTGTGGCTGATGACAGGCTTGGAACTGGAGAAGTGCCCGTTAGACGAGCTTTCTCCACCTTGGTTTCGGGACCTCATCCCTGCCTAGAAAGAAACAAACATAAAGATGCATTTGTAAACTAAATTACTTACAAAAAAAGAAAGCCACAGTGGAAATGCTGCCTTTGGTAAGAACAACAGTCTTCTAAAAACTGGAGAATACTGTCATGCTCAAGAGACTGTGGTGGAAAGCTCAACCATTCCAACAACTCTGTGTGTGGCAGAAAAAAAGTCCCGAGGTAAGGTTAGCCATCTTTTTCAGCACGCCAAATGCTGATATGAGTTTAAATGTATGGAACTTAAAATTGATGTGAGACAACATGTTCCAGTGTTTCCTTTTCTTCAGCTGATGTGTTGATCATTCACAATTCAATGCTACAAAACAAAGCAGGTTGTCAAATAGATCTTTTTTTGTGGCTTACTTGAGAAACAGAAATGAGATTAAATTTTTGAAAAACTTATTCCTGAAGTAGAAATTCTCTGTGAGAGTGGAGTGCCAAAGCATAACAAATGTCAGTCTGCTGTTTCTCTGAAATAAGCAATAATTTTATTGCAGGTAACCAAGAAAACTGGAGAATGCAGAGTAAATCAGGTGGCAAATACTGCACAGGATTATTAGACAATAAGTTTCATAAAGGAAAGTTGAAAAGAAGTTTGAAAAATGAGCACAAATGGTATGAAATTACTAACAGGTAAATGGGCAATATCAACACACTCTTTCCAGAAGATTCAGGGTTTGTCTAAAGGTCTCATGGTTATTCAACGCTCCCATTTCTGTCTTCTTAAGCACCTACATTGAGCCATAGACTATGACAGCAAACATTTCTCAGCTCTGTCACCTGACCAACTGTACTGCTAAATTTTTATAGCAATAAATCTAATGAAAAATATTCCACTGCTTCCAAGTATTTCCTCTTGTTTAAATTAATCTCTGGTGTTAGTTTGCAGTTTGCTCATTATTCAAACAGATGCTTTTCGACATCAATAACATCACACACACTACTGATAAGGAGTTCAGAGCAGCAGCCCACTAGTGAGGGAGCAAAACCTGAAATACATTGATTATTCAGCTTTGCTAAATTACACTGGGTCTGCAGTGGCTTGCCTACGTACTTGACTCAGGCCAGCATTATAAATCTCTTGCCACAATTAGCCTTGCACTTTTGTATTTTCACACTCAGCATGAAGATTGTCCTTTTATTATGACTGGTTACTCATGTCTTCACTAATTCAATGGAATTCATCCAGCAGTATAAACAGGGAGAGAATTAGACCCTCTATTTTGGAGTAAGAGAGTTTCACAAAGAGATTCCTTGCATTGTAGGCCTGCTTTTATCCAAACAATATGTGATACAGGTATACAATGGCCTTTAGCTTCCTGAATGCTTATGCAGGGTGTTTTTCATCAAACAGTTTGGATTAAATACATGAATTACACTTTCTAAAAACAGATCTCCATTATAAGCATGAACAATACCTGAGAACCTCAGGAAATCTTTTAGGTTTCAGATTTATAATGGAAAAATAAACATAGTACTATGTTTCCTCTCAGATAGGGCTTTTCAATTTGTTTAACTTTAATGGGTTTGAAACTTTCCAACCATGCTTCCTCTCAGGAGAGAGCACTTGGGATTCAATCTGTCTCTATTTTCTAAGTGTTTCCTTCTGAGTCCCTGTGGGTCACAGCCTCCAGCCACTTTCATCTCTAAACCAAACCTATTTTTTATGGCTTACAGTGAATAGCTTCATGGATCCAGGACATCCCACATGTTTTAAGAACAAATATTTGAAGACTGCCTTGTATATGTTTTGCAGTGGAAAACAGATTATTACATTACAGTATATTCTGCTTAGTAACGTGCCATTTTAGGGATTTCTCTGTAGCAAGCTGACCTGAAAGTGCACAATTAATGTTAAATTTAACTTATGTCTAGTTGAGACACATCATCAACCTGAAACATTGCATAATAAACCAGATGCACTTAGCTGAGTTTGTTAGACTTCATGAAAGGTGGTGTGTCACCCAGGCACATCATAACTCAAGACAGCCACTTTGATCCATCTGTCCTTGTGGGAGCTGAGAGAACAATTCATGAAGCTGTGTAAAGACTGAGCAGTTGACTATAGGCTTATCAACCTGTTAACAGAGAAATTAAGAATGCATATTTCAAGCGTGCTTATGCTCAGTATAAATCAGTAGAGGCCCACCAAGGACAAATGCAAAGTTATGTTCATTAAAATGGCAACAGAGAGGCTTAACCAATTGACCTGGTGTTTTGTATCATCTGGCTAATTAGCATATGATTGCTGTTAGAGGAGATTGAACTTGGTCTCTTTCAAAACTTCTTTTGAATTTTAGATTTATTTTGCAGCAAGCCTTACCTGACAGTAAGTGTGGCAGACATTCTGCCACATTCAGGGACACTGCCCCTAACAGCCTTTCTTAGTGTGAAAGCCTGCCAAAGTCAGGATAATGCTAACACTTACTCTGTCTTCCCTTGTGATATTGATACTTTTTCAACACATTACCCAAATGCAAAGGTGACATGTGCTAAAGCCAGAGATGCAGGTGACAGAAGCTTAAATGGTGACAGAGAAGGCCAAGGTTTCGATATTCACACAGTAATTTCCAAGGAGTTTAAGGGCCAAAATCAACGGCATGATCCAGCTGTTGTGCAGTGCTCTAGGAACACAAAGCAGCTGTAAGGATGACTGAGTTTTAATCAGAGCAGCGTGAAGTAGCCAGAACATACCAGTGATGTTGGCTGAAATACTGTGTGCTGGAAAGGAGTGCTCAGCATTATCATTTTGGATATCCGTCTGCATTTCTGATGGCATCACGATAAAGGAAAGTTTCTGAGTATTTGCATGACATTATTTCAGTATGCAAATATCCAAATCCCAAAACTTTGCTTATCTGTTGTTTCACCAGGGTTCCAAAACTGATTCTGGGGACACTGCCAGTCCACCACTGGTAACAAATGACCTCCTGCTGTCAGTCCTGACCACATCTCCATATCTTACAGCATTCCTGATCTGCTGAAGGGATTGTGTTCCCTGAAGAAATAGCTCGTATGATTTATAACAACTCTAGCATTTAACTCTACTTCTTTTTTCCCCACTCCTTATCAAATTGCATATTAAGCTGGGAACCTTTCCTAACAGTTTCCAGTCAAACAAGAAGACTTTATGTGATCAGTCACCTTGATTTTGACATTTATTGGCTACTCATTTCAATATGTGCTCACAGCATTGGTACTCGGCATGGGAACTCTTCAGCCCCTCCTCTGGTTCAGTCATTTTTTAAGCTTTATGCACAAAGGACAAATTCTATGGTTATTTACATGAGCCTGAATTGTTGTTCTGGGCATGGATCCTTCAGTTTTCACAAGTTAGAATCCACAGAAGATTTTATGAAATAACCTTTATGTTAGTTTTACTGACATCAGGAGGAAATCTGTGAGGAATTTGCTGAGTAGGATGTCAGGAGAGGACAGGCTGCATGCTATTCCAAGTTCTTTCCCCCTCTGATGGCAATTTGTTCTCCCCAAAGCTCTTGAAATGGCAGGTTAGATTAGGCTCTGTTACTGGTTCTGCTGGAATCAGATAACGCAAAGGGGCTCTTTGAACTTAATGTGCAGCCCCTCTTGCTAATTGGACATGATGATTTTGGCTCCACAGCATTTTCCCTTAAGATAATAATACTAATGTTATAATACACACACACATGCACAAAAGTTGATTTAAAGCCATGATATGGTTGTTGCCATTGGCAATAAGTTTGTAGTCTGGATCTCAGTTGCAGATCTAAGTGATTAGAGTATGACATGAAAGTGCTGGGTTTCTGACAGGCTAACAAAGTATTGCTGGGACAGTGCAGCTGGGTTAGTGAACCAAAACTGGAATTTGTTTCTCTGCTGTGACTTTGGGAACTGTGTCTTTCAGGAGCTCTGCTGTGCAGGAATTTGGAGTGGAGCAAAGTGATGTGCATAAGTGCCTGGGTACACAGGGTTGATTGAGGAGAACTCAAGCACTGAGCAAGACAAGTTTCTGCCTGGTGATTATGGATCACTATATAAGACTAGGAGAGAAAAATAATATAAATATACTCAAACTGGACACCAAATAATATAAACCCTCCATCAGTTCTGAAACACCCCACAAATGATGAGGAGAGCTAGAAAACTCTTTACATAGTGTCAGTCTGTATCTAAAAGTAGTAGGTACCAATTAAAAAAAAACATCAAAGACAAGACAAGACAAGAAAAGGGGAAGGGAAGGGAAGGGAAGGGAAGGGAAGGGAAGGGAAGGGAAGGGAAGGGAAAAAGACATTTTCCTAAATTTCAGGAGGAGAGGAGGATGAGGGCATCAAATTGACCTTGTTGGCTTAGAAGTCCTCAGCAAGAACCACCCCAGATGGGAATGGATGGCTTTAGCCCCAAGGGATCTGGATAGCCACAACTAAGTTTACCTGGCTTCAATGGTGTGACTTTCACAAGACAGTCATGTAGAGATACAACTGTTCATACCACCTCAGAGACTGAATAAAATTATTAGTTTTCATATTGGTTATTCCAGGTCATTTTCCTGGGCTCTGCAGATGTTCATTATTTTGTCTGCCTGGAAAAGATTAAAAGGAATCACATTCCCAAGAGGTGGTGATAGGCCCAGTAGGAGCTGTGGCTGCACTGAATGAGCAATGCTGGGCAGTTGGACTCTAACACTGCGTGGAGCAGCTCTGGATGTGACAGACTCTGGACTGTGAATGAACTAGGCCAAGGGAATGCAGACCTCATTCTTGCTTTTGCTTTTGCAGATGACTGCTGTGTTTGTTTCAGTCATGATGGTCAGAGAAGAGCAATAAACCTAATGACTAATACAATGAAGAACAGAAAAAATATCTGGCCTTAGTCATCCTGGAGTTTCCTGAATTTCTAAATTTTCAATCCTAAAGTACTAATCCATTGTGCTGTCTAACCCCAGTCTCTTGTCCTCATATGCATCATGATTTGAGCAAACAAGAAAAGGTCTTTGTTCCTTTTGAC